TTTTTTTTCTTTTCGTACAATTCACGTCTTAATTGAAGTTCTTCTTGTTGTTCCTTAAACGAGTACGCTTTGCTCTCTCTTTTCATATTCATTGAATTGAGTATATCATTTTTATCATTTGCTGGCAATACACTTTTATCGTACAACTCTCCTTCTGGAGTGAGGTAAGTAAAGTATTCGTCTTTAGTGACTTTTAAAATATCTGGATCGTTAAGTTTACTCGTAACGTTTGATATTATCGCGGGCAATATAATATCTGGTACAATTGATACCACTCTCGTTAAGGCGTTTTCATAACTAGGATTGAGTTCGTAATTTTGCACAAGCATTTTTTTAACTTCATAATTAAAAGAACATAAAAAATCTTTTGGTACAAGATTGTAATTCTTTGCAATTTTAAACCACAAGTTTGGCATTGCTTTAAGTATCGCAGGATGATGAGCTGGTATCAATGCATCTCTTGTCATTTGCATTGCTGGTAACTCAAACAAGAAAGAACCCGAACAAATAGCAAGCAATCCATCAGCAAGACACCTGCCAGTTATTTCTCCTGTAGAAGAGTCTTCTTTATTTTCTTTATCTGTCTCAGATTTAATTTTTACATTTTCTAAAAGTTTATTGAATTCTAGTAGTAGTTCTTGTGCAGGCGCGTAGGTACCCAAACCAGTTACAATCTTTTTAACAAATGGAAAGCAACATTTTCTGGTGTTGAATTTTGGAGCTGTTGCGCATATTACGATTGCTCTGTGAATTCCATTCAAAGCTTTTTCATTTAATCTATCGGAAAATTCTGTGATAAGTCTTTCACAAAGTAACATAAGGTGATATAAAATATCATCACCGCATGTTGCCAGAAATTTTTCTGAGAAGAATATTTGGTCATCGATTGCATTCCACAATATAGTTTGTTTGTCATTTTCTACTTGATTTGCAAGGACGAACTTGAGGAGTAAGTAAGCAGCAACCAAACCTTCTGTTACCGCAGTTGGTTGCGTACATTGCTGTGTAGCTCTCGTTATCGCTTGTATAAGTAATGGTGTTATTGTTGCAGAATACGAAGCTACTGGTGTAGAAAAGAAAAGTTTAATATAAGCAGTACGCACTGCAGGAGTTGAAGTTTTGGCAGTCATTCCTTCCTTAAATGCATCTATTATATTTTTCGGAACAGTTTTTGAAAATTTGTTAGACCATAAAGCCATCATTTCGAGAGCATGAATTAATGTTTTTTCATGAACTTCAGTTTCTAAAACTTTGATAAAGTGTTTGCAAGCAGTTTCTGCTAATCTTTGAACACTACTGCCTGAAGCTGCATTGTAGCTAAGATTACCAGCTCCTTGTAAAACAGAAATCTTATGAGTTACAACCGTGAGTTTTCCTTCTGATCCATGAAATACTGCAAACACAGATGACAGTAAATCTTCCAAAGCAGTAGCATCTGAACATTGTAGAGCGAGTCTACGACAAGCTCCAATAGCCTCGCTTCTAACTACGTCTTCCTTAGAATGTAAATTCGCAAATAATCCTTTGCTTATATCTTGGCTGTACTGACTTAAATCAAGACTTAAACCACTTAGAGTATGACCAATAGATTCGATAATAATTTCTGGATTCCTTAACATTGCTTTTTGTAAAGCAGGCAGTAACTGACTTTTAAATTCATCGTGAGATATTTTACGTAGCAGAGGTACAGCAGTTTGTACTACATATAGGTCTGGCTTCTTTTTGCAACTGATAGTCACTTTTATAAAAGCATCAATTATGTTTGTCTATAAAAGATAAATAAAAATTAATTTCATAATCTTATCACATAATAAATAAAAACTTTAAAGTAATATTAAATATTGATTTACCTTTAGCTTCCCCACCAACTCGTTTTTCTTTGTATTTACCAAATATTTTGTAAGTAAACTAGCAAGAACGATTATACCATTTCCAACTTCCAATTTAACCAGTGCTTCTAGATATACTGTTTCTATCCCTTTAACGTTTGACCATTGATGTGCTAATAGTACATACACTTTTTCTGCCAGTTTTTTATCCATAGTTGCCAAAGCTGCTGCAGTTAGATTTGCTTGTGCCTCTACAAGTTTTGGTAATTCTATACTAAAGTTTGGATTGTTCTGAGATCCATACAGAAGAATTAATGCTGACCATTTCAATGCAAGGTATGCAGTTAAAGCAGTTTTCAAACTGTAAAATAGTGTTTATTGAATATACATTGAATGTCAGTGCATTATGTCAAAATATGTATGATTGAAACATTTATAGGATTACATACGTAGGAACTACATTTTTATGCCAAGAAGCTTGTTCTACAATGACATTTGTCATGTGTTTCACAGTAGATTCTTGTTGTTTTTTCAATAACTCCACAATTAAATTTTTCACGTATGATTGGGAGGCTGTATCCTTATATCGATGTAAAGTAAGAGATATGGTTTTGCAAATTCCATTAACAATTTTTTCATTGATGCCTAAAATATGAAAACAATAAATAGAAAAAGTAGAAATCAATAAATAATATACTTTCTGTTTCAAATTCTTTCATTTTAGTTTTTGTAATATGAATTTCAATTTATATATATAAGAATATACGTAACATCAATTGATATATTTGATTATGTATTTTATCTAAAAAGTATAACTTAAGAAACAAAGTTACAAAATTATGTGTGACAGTATACTAATATCCATGGTTGTCTAAGTACTATTAGATTTAAAACTATGAAAATAAAGGATTTTGTGTGCAATATTATACAAATTTAAAACATGAAGAATATTTATTTTTAATACAAGTTTTAACAAACAGTCAAACATATTTATTCATTCCATTGCACGAATAGCTAACTAATGTATAGTGTATCATATGTACATATTTACTGTAACAGTAAATATTTTCTGCAATTGATAATAAAATCTAAACACTAAAAAATATGAAAATGATGCGTGAAAGATGATATAAAATCTCTGAACACTGTAATTAAAAAACAATATTGCATTGGTCTTGTACTTAAATTTCAATTGTCACACAACATCCTGTACCCTAATATGTGCTTTAATTTATATTTATGAGAGAACATACAATTTTCTTTCCTCAGTGGTAAATACTTTTAATCTACAATACAAGTTCTTATAAAAAATAAATCTATTATCGTTCCTTACCAGGATTTGACAATACATTGACGACATTTTGCAGAACCTCTCGCCGCTCGTTTTTACTAGCGGTTTGAACTCGAATTGGCAGATCTTTCAATGCTTTCGCTAACTGTAACAAAATCAATTATCAATAGTCAGTAATTATCAAAAAATAATACGGTTTCTCAACTTCCACGTGACAGACTCACCTCAACATCCGCCATATTTCTTCAAAAACCGAACTGCTTTAAAGCGCCACCCTTCGCAAAATTGTTATTCCTTGGAATTAGACATCTTATCAAATCACACCATATGCACATACTATGTGATAAATGCACTCATTTCGAATAAAAAGATAGTGTATTTAAAAATATTTACTTTAATAAACATATTAACATTCTATGTATTACAATTTGTCATCAGAATTTATGTCAATAAATGATGTAATATTTAATTTAGATTTTACATTATTTAATTTTAAAGAAGATAGATTACAGTAATGACCATTTTAATTACATATATTTAACCGTTTCGTAATTGTAATTAAAAATATATGCTTTCATTAGATAATACAAACTCCAGAACTGAAAATCAGAATGCTACAAATAATTATTATAATCTATAAATTGTTTAACATGTAGACGTCATTTTACATTTATAACAAAATATTAATTAATTAATATTAATAATTAAATTATTTAATGGATCATATATAATATAATGATTTATGATAGTATTTGTACAATAAAAAATTTGAGAACAGTTAGAGAAATAGATCAAATTTGATTCATAGTTACCATATATTGAGTACTCACACAACTCTGTGATTCATGTGTTAATGATCTCTGCATACAACTGCATATGAATGCAACTTGTGCATATACAAATGGATGGTTTGAAATAGATATCCTAACCTCATTCTTAGTTGTCACGTGGAATAACTCTGAGTCCACCCAAATTAAAAGAAAGAAATTAACGCCAACAAAGACTTAAAAAATGTGCTAAATTGTTTTAATGCATGTATGTATGGTCTTAATTCCTCCTTTTTATTATTAATCGTGTTACCTATAATACTAAACATAAAATATGGCATAGTCATGAATAAAAATTTTCAAATATTTTAGAATTTTACTGAATTTTGATAAGATGAGTATCTTTGAAACGTTCCTTGAAAACGCTGCAGACGCAAAAGTAGTATTTACCGTTACAGCAATAATGGGTTATTGTTTATACAGAATAATGACAATATCAAATAGAAGAAAATTAGAAGCTTTTGAAGATTCTAATGACTCCTCAAACAATATAGTAAGAAAAAATCAAATCTGTATAATTATATTGTTTCTCAAAAACGAAATTAAGACAACAAATAATCTTATTTATTCTTCCACATAGGTATATACAGATGAATACGATAATTACAAGCTTATTTTAGTAGTTAGAACTGACTTAAAAATGGGAAAAGGAAAAGTTGCAGCACAATGTGCTCATGCTGCTGTTGCAGCATATAAAGCAGCTACAAAAAATTCTAAAATTTTAAAAGCTTGGGAAGAATGTGGACAAGCCAAAATTACTGTTAAAGTATGTATAGAATGAGATAGAATAAAATCTGTATGATTATTTGCTTTAAATCAAATAATTGTGACTGAAAAAATACTCAGGTGGACAATGAAGATGCTTTAAAAGAAGTGGCAAAGCATGCCAGAGCTATAGGACTTTTAGCAAATATAATACAAGATGCTGGACATACACAGATAGCACCAGGAAGCAAAACAGTATGTGCAGTTGGTCCAGGCCCAGCACCACTAATAGATCAAGTAACCGGGCATTTAAAATTGTTTTAATTATTTATCAAATAAAGGTACTTAAATTTCTTTTTATTTGTGTTTTAAACTTATATTTTTAAGTCTAGTTTCTGAATTTAATTTATATCTGTAAATTAATTAAACACAGAATTATCAATATATTCTTGAAATATTATAATTTCAAATATATTTCCATAATTTCTGTAAAAAAAAGACCAACACATAAAAAAGAAGGTGACAATATATTTATGAAAAATGGAATAAGTACAAGTTAGCGAAATACATACTACAATCTTAAATTCATCTTCAGTCTGTCATACGTACAGTTAACTAAGTAGTAATGTTTTACACATAGCAATACGTGTTTTCATTCAGTAAATTTCAATGCAACATTATCTTACACGTTCATCTTAATAGTAATATAATACATTTTTGCATCAACAAATATATAGGTATAGCATTGGGTGTTACTGTAAACAGTATGCTTTTCATATTAAATTTTATTAATTATCAATGTAAGTGGAAATGGCATTTACTGATATCATATTAAAAAATAGATCTAGAAATAATATCAGGTAGAATCATATTGCTATATAGTAAGCAATTACCATGAATTGTTCCCAGCTCTAATTACAAAACTGAAAATTTGTTTCCAATAAAATATCTTTCATTCTTTGGTACCCAGTACTATTATCCACATTTAAAATATTATTTAATGCTTATAAATATTATATAAATAATCTATACTGGTGGAGGAGGTGCTTTTCTATGTATTTTGTTAGAACTGGCAGCACTGCATTGTGATTCAGCGATAGATCTACCGTCAGCCTCGTCTCTTCGACATAATTCCGATTCATTTTGCATCCAGTTCTGAGTTTGATTATGATTTACTCGCGTCGATTGAGTTTCTTCATTCTCGGGAACGGAACCTACTTCTTCTAATAATTTTGATAAAGATGGCGCCAAACCTAACCCTAAATTTCGCTCATGATACACTTCTGATATTGTAGGTGTTAATTCACGTGTGAGGCTTGTGAGAGATGTGGCTACATTCCTTAAATTTTGATTATGCGTTTCTGTGGGTTGCGTAGAATCAGACTGAGAACAAATGTCTTCAGTTGCTGTAGGATGACGAGGTTTCCTCGGAGAATTAGATCCAATTTCTGTTCTGACACTTAATCGTTCTAGAATAGTTGCTGGTAACGGTGGTAATGGCTGCCGTCTTAAAACTGTTGCGTGACCATTATCCCAATCGGTTACCGAACTACTTGAGCTAGACCCAGGTCTTATGCTTTGTTCAGGATAAAGATTTCTAATATGTGTTTGATGGTTTAAGTTGAGTGCTACAGGAGGACTGGGAGTAAAAGCAACATCCGATTCGCCTATAAAATACGTATATACACTTTTAATTTTTTAATGACCATATACTTATGTAATTGTGGATCAAATTTATGTGTACCTCCTCCACTTTGACATGGTTGTCGAGATGTTGGAATTGGAATATTTGGTGGTTCCATAGTTTTTCCATCGGGTTCACCTCGATGTCGGACATAATTTGCAAATGCGCCTCCTAATCGTGGTCGTTCTATGACATTCTTTTCAGTATGAGCAACAGAAGCTAGGCTTTCCATTGAACTACTGGAATCTAAACTGAGGCTTTTAGGTGCTTCTTGCGTGTCTAACAACATATTCATAAATTAGTGTATTTTACTTTATCAATACTTACTAATTACTAATCAATATCAACTTACCGAATAAAGCAAGAAGAGCTTGTAGAGCGAATTGAACAGCTCTTCGCGATGCTTGTTTTCCTGTCCTTAATGTGACTTCTGATTGACCAACTTCCATAAGGTCAAATCCTAAACTTGCAAACAATTCATGAGACCCTGATGCTCTCCATACTTGAACTGGTAATGTAACTTCTTGGCCTTCTGTTGCACAACTAGCTCTTCTCATTGCTGAAATGACATCTTCTGCAGCTTCCGGTGCCTACAAAGTACAGAGTAATCATTTTAATCTACTATAATATGATCTTTTATACTGCAATGAGTCAACTGTCGCTTGTTACCTGTAACAATCGAGCAAGCGCGTGTAGTGATGATGGCCCTAATCCTAGCAATGCTTGCAAACTTGCACTACATCTTGTTAATCTTTCTTCAGGATCACTTTGCGGGAAAAATACAGAGGATGGTATACCGTTTCCAGCTGGTTCAAATCTGAACCCTACCGACATTAACAGTTCTCGCCAGCCCGTGGCTGCTCCCACCTTATTTTCAATACTACGCTGAGTTGTGTACATAGCATTTTTTTGTCCACGGTGTATTCGTTGCAATGATTTTTCTACTAAATGAAGCGTTACGCGTAGAGCGTCACGACTTTGTTCAGGACCACCGCGCAATAGTTCTGCAAGCGCTTGTCCCATTAAAGCAACCTAATTAAGTAATTGGTGAATTATTACATACATATAAATATTTGTATTACATTAAATTTTTTAGGCCTACCTTGTTTGATAATCTTGCATCCCCCCCAACAAGTAGCCAACCAGCCCAATTTGCAGGATGTGCAAAGTGTCTCGTATGCTGAACTGTTTGCATAGCTTCTGCCAATGCTCTTGATGCTCTAGCACCTTGTAACATAGCACTATAAAATGCTCGTAATAAAATACTACCAGCTGTGGGCGGAACCGCCCACATTCCTATAAGTACACATTGCGCTCCTGCATTTAACAAAGCCTTAGCTAAATTTTGCACACCATCCGATGTAGCACTCGTATTTTCTGTGCTGCTCCAACAGTGACCACTCGATATTACAACCAAACGAGCAGCTATCCTCAGCTTTGAGATGTCTGAATAACTTAGTAAATACTCTGGTCTTTCAGAAGGCTCTTCGCATTGATCAGCGGTTAATACTAAACTGCTAGAATTCCAAAAGACTGGTACTGTCAAATGTACGCATTCTGCATCGGGTAAAGATCTTAAAACAGCCGATCTAGTTGCTTCCGCCCCTATTAATAAAGATAGAAAAAAACAGCTTATTAAGTACCTTTTTAATGTTCATATGTGCGTTGATACTTACCAGTTAATGCACGGGCTTCTAGTAACTCAGCAACGATCTCAGATTCTGTTTCAGTAGAAGCTACGCTTTCAGACCATCCATATTCTTCTTTAATTTCTTCAGGAAGTACGGGATTTCCTGCAACTAATGCAGCTACTGTTGCACCGCCTTCAGGCATAGGCGTTTTCGAGCGTTTTCTCAGCGCTGCAAGGGATGGTACAACCAATAAAGAAAATCTTTCGCATAGATAATCTTCTCCAGGATTTGATTGTAAAGCTGGAAGTGGTGCCAAATACAGCGACTTCTCCACTACCATAATTAATTCCTTCCTTGCAGGCGGTAAGAGATCTTCGAATGGGGCTAAAAGTAGATCGTAGAGGACTTGAATCGGTAATGGTGGCTGCCATGTAGGTCCTTTCGTTCCTCGTCCCCATCGTGCACTTCCTGCTCGTGAACTAACTGATCCCACACTAAATAAACTACTCAAGCTATAAGAACTAGCATTAAGGTGATGTCCTCTTGATGGTATTTTTGCTTCTTCGACAAGTTCATTTGTTTCATCCAAGAGAGCTTCTCGCGCTTGCACAACTCGTTTTTCTAGTCCCATACCGTCATCCAAAGTAGTAGAATGAAATCGCAAGAGTCCTCGACCCGGAGCTAAGCACCAAGCGTGCAATTCACATCCAACTTCACTATAATATAATATAACACCGCGTTGTCTGTCAATGATTTCCGAATAATGCGCAGCCTCATCCAAACAGTTACTTTTACATCGTCTCGATCTTTCTGCCCAATTTAAAGCTTCCTCGGCTCTATTCAAACTGATCAATACTTTTTGTAACATTCTATATGTTTCTGATAATAATTCAGACTTGTTTGGTTGTCCACAGGTAAGAACCGAACAGGTTCCATCTAATGATTCTAATAAATTTGCTGCCTTTTCTAAATGTTCTACGGCAATTAACGCTTCACCAGCTTCCCAATGAACAAGGCCAAGCCTGTGTCTCAATCTAGCTGCTTCTTCTCTTCTTCCTAATCCTTCGGACAGTGATAATCCAGATTGTAAGTAACTCAAGGCTCGTGATAAATCACCGCACAAATGATGAAGACGCCCTAAACTAGAAAATGCAGCTGCTCTTGCCGGTTGATCTCCAGCTGCCGCCGCAAGGCTTAAGGATTGTTCTTGTAATCTTATAGCTTCTTCGAATTGTCCTAATGCTTCTTGGGTTACACCCAAATTTGCGCAAGCCCTCGCTTGTAATCCAGATGCATCTAAGCCTTCAGCAATTGAAAGTTCTAGTTGATGATGACGTAATGCAGAATTTGGATCATCCATTAATAAGTGAACCGCTCCTAGTCCGCTTGCAGCTTCTGCTTCAGCAGCTTTATCTCCAAGTCCTCTAGCAAGAGCAAGTTGGTGCGATAAACAGCTGACAGCTTGTTCGTGGTTTCCTAATGCAGCATGTACCCTGCCTATAAAATTAATGTTGTAAATTAATAACATGTAAATAAAAAATTAATGCGTTCAATAGTGGGTGTTTGAGTTTTACCTAAATCTCCATACGCTGCGCCTCTTGATTCGGGGCTGTCGACTTCATGCGCAGCCACTAACCTCTTTTCAAAGCAAACTAGAGCTTCTTGTAAATTTCCAGTTGCTTCTCGAGCTCTACCCAATCCTCGATATGCCCTCTCTTGTTCTCTTATACTTTTCAGCTTTGTAGAAGCTGCTAATTGCTGTTCATGACATTTAATAGCTTCCTCTGGATCTCCTAAAGCTTCGTAACAATCGCCTAGATTTCCAAGTGCTCTAGCTTTGTCTAATAAAGCTGTTCCTGTAGTTAGCGGTTCCAAAGTTGCCAGTTGCTGTTCAAAATATCCAATTGCATCTTCGTAATGTGCCATGTTAAGTCTAGCTATTCCTAAGTTTCCTGTTTAACAGAAGAATAGTTAATGTTAGTGATAAGTTCAAATTTTTGTAGATAACAAGTAAATTTTACCTAGAGCTTGAGCTTCGACTCCTGAATCCGCTAATTCTTTCGCTCTTTCAAGCTGCTCCTGATAACATTTTACTGCATGCGTGTACTGACCCAACGCCATGTGTACCGCACCCAAATTTCCGTGAGCTCTACACTCGCCACGCAAATCTCCAGCTTCTTGTCTTAAAGTTAATTCTTGAGTATGAAATCCTAATGCCTTATCAAGATTTTTTATCGTTCGATGTGCGATACCTAAAGCTCCATAAGCAGCAGCTTCTAGGCTCCGATCACCCGCCTGCCGGGCTAAATTTAATTGTCGTTGATGCATTTTTATCGCTTCTTCAGCTTCACCAAGACGCAAGAGACAACCACCAATATTCCCCAAAGCTCGAAATTTTCCAGCCAAATGCTTAGTCATATGTGCAATAGCTACATATAAAAAATAATATATATTTCCAAGGTTTTTTATTGGCATTAATGGAAACGTAATAATTTCTTACCCAAATAATATTTTTGACATTCCAATGCTGTATCTAAATTTTCAAGAGCTAGATGTGCTAATCCCAAATTGCAATAAGCTCTTCCCATTCCAGATTTATCCTGTAAATCTTTAGCTAAGGCCAAATCTTGATCATAATATCTGACAGCTTCGCGATGATTACCTAAACAATAATGGGCGTAACCTAAGAAGTGACATGCTTTTGCTTCTCCTTCAACATCGTGTAACTCCTGAGATAACATAAGGTAATTTTCATAATATGGAACTGCTTCTTCAAATCTCCCACGAGATGACAAACAATTGGCAAGATTAAGTAAAGCACACGCTTCTCCAGCCGTGTCTTTTAATTCGCGTGCTATAGCTAAATGAGCTCTATAATGCCTTAACGCTGCTTCGTGTCCCTGTACAGCTTGATATGCTACTGCTAAATTCCCATGTGTACTAGCTTCTGAACTACGATCATTGACCTATATTGAACAATTAATTTTACAATATAAATTTGATATTTGTATGTAGTTTAAGTAAAATAATTCAAATAATTTACCTCTTTACTTATTGTTAATTCTTGTTTATGATATTTAATAGCTTGTTCGTAATATCCTAATGCGTTATACGCATTCCCGATGTTTCCATATGCTCTGCCCATACCAGCTTTATCTCCTAACGATCTAGCAATTCCTAAATGAGCTTGATGCAATTTAAGTGCAGCTTCATGTTCACCAAGTAATTGATAAACAATTCCTAAATTGCTGCATGCTCGTCCTTCGGCTACTTTGTCTTTTGTAGCTAATGCAACGTCAAGTTGTCTCTGGTGCCACAGCTTGGCTTGTGCAAGATCGCCTAAATAAGGATATATTTGAAAGAAATTTTATAATAAAATTCATTTCCTCATTGGTTTCCTCATTATTTTTCGTTCCGAAAAGTTTTTCACCTGCACATCTTGCAGCATGACCCAATCCAGCATAAGCTCTCATTTCTATTGCTCTATCGCCGAGTTCTTGAGCTATTCTTAGAACATTTTCGTGATAAGCCATTGCTTGACCGAAATTTCTTCGATAGTGATGAGATGATCCTAAGTTACTAAAAGCTCTTGCTTCCTCTACGCGATCTCCTAATCGTCTTGCTATTCTTAAGTGCTGGGTATGACAATCAACAGCACTTTCAAATTCTCCCATTGCTAAATAAACTGCTCCCACGTTACCTATTTCTCGTGCTTCCTGAAGTCGATCTCCCATTTGTTTTACTAACTGAACGCATTGCTTATGGGAAGCAAGTGCATTTGGTAAATCACCAATAGCTGTATAAACGTGACCCAGGCTAGTTAAAGCAGAAGCTGCAGCCTGAGTGTCTTTGCACTTCATAGCTAAAACCAATTGATACCTGTGTGCTGTTAAAGCTTCCTTAAAACTGCCTTTGCTAAAATATGCAGAGCCCAGATTTCCATGAGCTCGACATTCACCCTGTGTATCTCCTAAAGATCGTGCCACACCTAAAAATATTTTTACTCGAAATTTAAAAAGACATCCTATCAAGGTGTACTTATCGTTTTACTCATTGTCAAACTAATACTTACCTAAATCTTGTTGCATATAATTGATAGCTTTGTCCAAAGAATTTAATGCCCAATATGCACTAGATAAAGCAGAAAATACAGAACCCCTTAATTTTAAACTACAAGAACCAATAGTAAGTGCAGCTTCTAATACACCAGCTGCTGCTTTATACTGCCCTGCTCCAAGAAGTTCTTGACCAACAACAGAAATAACAACAAAAGGAGATTCATCAAGTTTCATTGCACGTAATTGTTGAAATGTTGGTTCTAATGTCGCACGTAGCGGAGATTTTAAAGATGCTTCTACCAAACCAGATAATAATTGACAATTAGAAGGATCGTGTGCCAAGCCTGTACTGAAGGCCACAAGGGCCTCCCCATGTCTTCCTAAACATTGTAATGCTACTCCTTGACGGTAATATGCCTGACAAAAAAAGTTTTATTAATTATTTAAAGAATAACAAATAAAATGCATAACTCTACCTTTGGCCATTGAGGACTGAGTTCAGTTGCTCTAACAGCATCTTGAAGAGCAAGCGCAAATAAACCCATTTTGAGTCTAGCAGCAGACCTGTTTGAATACAGCACATGGCTGAGCGGATCCAACGCAAGAGCTTCTGTGTATAAGCTTGCTGCAAGCGCATAATCACCATTTTGACATGCTGCATTGCTACGACGTACTGTTTCTAAGAATAGAGACCTTGATCCAGCAGCCAAGGCCGACGTACCTTCGGGTTCCACCTTAAACATTCATGACAAAATAATATCTTAAATTGGTATTGTTAATGAATAAATTCAAACATCAATTTTGAACTTATATAATATTGTTCATTACAAAATAAATAACTTAAGCAAGTGTAATATCTGGGATGTCTGTACTACATGTTTACTTTATAATTTAGAGAATTATAATAACATAAATTTGCATTTAATTCTATTGCAAGTAAATACAGTACACATTGCTCCATGCATATAATTACAAAAACACAATTTATTATTGAGTTTTTAAATATTAAATAAAATTTCACGATAATAAATGAAAAAAATATAAAGTACAAAAATTTATAAAATGACACAGTTCTTATAATAAAACTTGGAAAGGATAGTACACGTCGAAACATATACCGTAAAGAATCGTGTCGTTACCTCAGAGATATCCCTATGAGACATTGCTTAAGACGAGCAGGTAGCATCCTCCTGCATGAGCATTATCTGCGGCAAGGGAGCACCATTAGATAAGGCCACGCATTTTAGAGTATAAGGCCTTTCTAGGACTTCCCGCACCACCTTCCTTTTTCTCACTCACATTTATTCTCCGCGAAGCGCTTGCTTCCAAATTTTTACGACACTCACCGAATGGACGTTGACATTAACTACTTCGTCCTAGTAATCAGAGTATTTGCTAGGATGAGTGAATTGGTTCGATTAATAAAAAGAGAGGGAGGAAGGCGTCTTAGGGGGGCACCCACTGCATTCCTCAGGCACAGCCATCTTGGAATGTGACCCCGGGTCCCCCCTTAGGCCCAGAGTGGGGCCGGCACTGTCTACTTCTGTACCCTTCATATATTGGGCCTCATATATATATATATATATATATATACACACATCGTAAGTCCATACTTCTGTGTAAAAGTGCACATGCACAGAAACGAACTGTTACGGGTACAAAACAGACGTACAGAAATTTAAGTTTTCTTCATTTTTTGTTCCTCAGTCTAACTGTATGAACTTTAAAACGTCGTATTATTTTAATTATAAATATTTTATGCATATTCTACTTATAATTGCATTGATATTGCATTTTTATTCGATAATAATTTAGAACTTGCTATGATATTTGAGTAACTTTACATCACATAAAATAACGAATTAATTGTAAGAATCAGTACTCGTAAATGTATCCTTCGTAAACGTTAAAAATATATTTTATTATTCCATATGTCACAATTATTTACATTTATAGAAGATAACAGTTGTTTATTTTATTCGCAGATATGTATAAAAATGTAAATTGCTTTTCATATACAGAGTTTTAGCTGTGAAATTGTTGTATTTCTAGAAATATTGACCTGTTTGTATACAAAATGCTTAAAAATATTACTGTGAATGGAAATGACATGTAAATAATACAAAATGTTATGGGCAGGAATAGTTGTTTGCGATTAATGTAATAAAATAGACATTCTATGTTTTCTATAAGATTAAGGTCTCTATTTTGAAGGAACTTTGTCAGTTTACATCTATTGGAATGTCACAGCCATTACAGCAAAATTTTGACACTCTATAATGTCTGAGCGAAGATTATCACGGTATGAACGGTTTTGGGTAAAAACATTATATTGTGTAGATGATTGTTAATAACTTTTTAATAACCAATTTGTACATCTCTTTTTCACTACTTATCATAATTTCATTTGAATTTTATTAACCAATATACGAGAATTATTGACAAATAATTCATAAACAAATCAATTTAGTTACCTATAAACCCTTCGCTCAGGTCAATAAATATTCTTTTATTTTGTACTAAACTGTACACCATTATTTCTTGGAATAGATGATATACATAATCATACATATGATGTATAAATTGTTACCACAGAATGTTATATTCATTCGACAATTCGAATGTATAGGAATGTTAAATATTTAATAATACTATGAACTACAATAAGGAATGAAAATGATTGTAAATTAAATATACATTAAAATTTCCCTCTAGCACATAAATTGTACATTAAATAACAAATTTGGTACGAAAATATATTATATATGCATAATATATATTATGCACATAGGTATTATATAACGGAATTTGCATATAATGCAACTGTAGCTTTCAATACTATAAGTAATAATAATTACTGCCAAAAATGGAAATCTTTGATATAAATCTATGGTTTATTCTAATTTTCGTTGATTAAAATGTGTATTATAATAGCATACTTATGAATCACATTTGAAGTAAAAACATTTCTAGAAAAGTACGGCTACAAATATATTGTACAAATATAAAATCTATATTGTTATAAAAGCTACATTTGCATTGCATTATGGAATATATCATTATAAAAATGTAATCATTTTCAAGGCCAAACTCGATTGAAAAGTTCCATAAAGGAATCATAAATCATAAATGTGATGGCAACATCTAAACATACTCTACTTAATCTTGGAACAGTTCCTTTGTAAAATGCTGTTGGGCCTTCATTCTTCCATATCTGAATCATACAGTCTACACTATTTTTATATTTTGAGGCCTCCAAGCCCTAAAAACACGATTCAAATTAAATAATCCATTCTTGTGAAAAGGGTCATAATTTCATGGAAGTTCTGAATTTCATACCTGCATTCTAGTTTTTATTACATCAATGGGAGTGTTTCCAAAAACTGATAATGCACCAGCGCATGCACCAAATGTACCAATAACATATTTTGGTATAGTTACATTTTTATCTCCACCTTTGTACCACTCTTTTAATGTTTCCATAGTACAGAACCTAATTGCTTGATTTGATCCTTGTTTTAAAATTGTAGGTGCTAATCCTTGATATATACCTCTAACTCCTAAATAAAAAAAATCACATATGCAATACTTATATGTAGTATATTTATTATAATTTCATAACCATTATAGAGAATGGAGCATTTAATACAGGACACTTAAATAACTTGTACATTTTTAAAGATAGAGAAAAATGTTTAAGACAGAAGTTGTTTGATTTCTTAGGAAAAATAGTGTGGTAAAGTTTTTTGGTACCAAGTAGAAGGACCAAGGACATTTTAAAGTCATTCACTTTTTTTCTTTACTGACTCTTAATAACCAACAAGCCTTTGATAAAAGGTAAATAACAAGTGTATCTTCCAAAAAACTGTTAAAAAATATACTCTATTCTATTTATCAAGAAGCTGATGACCTTGAAATGTTCTAGGCATTTCTGACTGCAACGAAAAAAAAAACATTACTGCACCATATTTCCCATAATGCCAAACAATTTTTATGTCAAACATCTTTTTCCATCACTAAAAATACAGTCACTCAGATATACTGTACTACATGTCTCACCTTATATAATGAAATGCTGCAGAAAATACGTAACATGATATGACTGAATATTACAGAAGCTAATTTACTCATGTATTAAGCTATCATGTGCGTAAACTGAGAACTATGTACAATATAACCTATCCTCTGTGCAAAGACCATTAAGTTGGTTATGCATGCAATGAAAAACAAGTTTATTACGTTTGCATTTTTATTATAACAAAACAAAATTTTTAAATTCCTTTGGTAACTTTATATTTAAATTTAAATACACATTCATTACACTTGCAATTAAAAACAGTAAGCAAAAAGTTATTAGAATCATTACAATAAATTTACTTTATTTCATTTTAAATATTAATATCCTACTTACCATACTCCTGAATGATCATTTTCACTCCGTGTAAGAATCCTCTGTATTTTGGATTAGCAGATCGTTGGTCATTGATAAACTTTACTTTAATAGTCTCCATAGGAGTAACTGCAAAAATAGCTTCAGAGGCACCGGCACACAGTCCTGCTAACAAGCTAGTTTGAGTAGTAAGTTTGCCATTTTCATTTACCAGAAATCCTTTCACTTTTTCAAAAGAACCAAAACGTACTGCTGACTTAGGAATTGAACCATAAATTAATACTGAAAGGCCCCTGTATAGGCCAAAAAATCCACGATTTTGTACAGTTTTTGTCACACAATCCCATATTCCAGTATATTGCTTACTAGCACCAGATTTTCCATCAAGTTGTAATTGTGTCTTTACATATTCGGTTGGATATGTAATACATATTTCTATACCTCCAGTTATACCTCCTACAATGTAAATTCATAATATAATTACCATTTACTAATAAATAGTTTAAATATTTTCAAATAAAGAAAGCTTCATCAAAAACTAACATTTTCTTTAGGTGAAAACCGTGTTAAACCGTTTCATTCAAGTATAGCAAAACAGGCGCCGAAAAGTTAAAAATAGGTTCACTACGTTTTATCAAGGTTAAATACTTCTCAACCTTTGAAACTATCACGCGTTGAATGCGCGCTGGCTCAAAGTTTACCCTTCTCTTTCTTCCCTTTTCTTCCATTCGTTCTTCTCTCGCTCTCTCACTTTAACGTGTTTACATTCTATCTACTTCGACAAGTGGTAAAGGGACATTGGGAGCAAATCATTAAAGTGGAGGCTGTTCAAAAGATATTGCAAAAAAAAAACCGCCTACCAGCTATGATACCCTTAATACCGCTGCCGCTTGCAGCCGCTGCAGCTCCAGAGTCCGTTAACCATGGTCTACGGGGAAAAGGACTATGGAATGTCGTTATTGTTCCCGGTCGTTGTGATGATTTGCACATTAACCAACTGGAATCCATTTTCCAGATTTGTTTCTATTCGTCCGTAGACTTGTCCCGTTAAACGTCGAACCTGGACTGAGTCGATTAATAACCGTGCGTTTCGGTGCGCGTGGCAATGTTCGTTCCCCTTCCTTAAAGAATTTTATTTACTCGTTCTTTATTCGTTGCTTCGCGAATTACGTTTAATATCGAAGAATTAGAGAATAGACAATAAATTTCTCTTTACACTAAAATAATCGTCTCTTTTATGTTACTGGTTCTTCATAATCATTGTAAAATCTTTAATAATATGGCGCAACTTATACATATGCACATATGTATATACCTTTCAAATTAATTTTTTAAATAATTCAATATTAAGTAGCTATCCGTATTTCTGTTTAACTTAATTTCAATGTAACAATTAGTCACCAAAGTTAACTATGAATAGTTTCTTCTGTTAAAAATATCTCAAATAAAACGTAATTTCTACACATTACTGTAATCATTCTTCCTCTTATTTTTATCATTTATTTTACTTACAAATCAGATTCGAGCGTATAATCAACATTTTTATACAACAAATAAAATTGCATTTTTTAATTGCAAAATTTCTAAGTAAAAGAATTCGTGAAACTACATATTTTATCTAATGTTATCTTAAACTAGGTAATATTATTTAAAATTACATTTTATAAGTTAAAACTAATAAAGATTCAGGTAGAAATAAAATAAATGTCAAATTAAAATATCATTTATTTACTCATATAGGAAATATTGTATTAAAGTTTATAATAACTGATGAAAATATTCTAGGTCAATCTATTATTGGGTAAAACATTTTTAATTTTTGATCACCATTGTGAATATTTCATTTTGCTATTCATGATAAAGACTTACATTTTATGAACGGTTGATATAAGATGTACTATCAGGAATGTTTTTATTTTTTGTTATGTAACAGTTCAGTGAACATAGACATGTGTGAGGATGAACATGAGAACAGAGAGTGCTATAGGGAGATAAGACAAATTTCTGAATGGTACACCATACATCAATTTTAGCACAAAAGTTTTGTTATATTTATAGTTTAAAAAAGTTTAAAAATGGACAAAGTGAAGTAAACCTAGTCAATCATATAAAGAATGTCATATTCTGTTATTCATTGTTACAATTTTAATTTACCATTTCGATTTACATGTTTTACCATCCAGGTGTAGTATTTGCTAAACGTCTCATACGTCTGAAATAAAAAACAAACATTGTAATTAACTGTTAATTTTCTGTACATTATCGTATAATACAACAATCTTTACCGCGTATTTCGATCTTGATCGCGTATTTTCTTTTCCATTTCTGCGTCTGTTAACGTTTCCAAAAACGGTGCCCATTGATCGGCTTCCGAAGGTGGCCTAAAAGGTACTTCCACTGTCGGCAAAGGGGCTTCGGAAAATGCATATGTCCTTTGGTGCCATGATAATTGTCCACGAACACTAAAAACAAGTTTCGTGTATTTTTCAATATACATAAATAAATTATCTGTATTAAAATATATAAATATAAATTATTCAAACATACCTATAAGCAATGGCAGTAACAAACTCTCCACCAAGGCCTAACTCGGCACAAAGTTTCATTGCAAATTTTTCAGGATTATTTTCTTTTTCAGACATATCCCATTCCACTTGATCTACTAAAGATGTATTACCCACGTGTATATTTAACTTAATAATAACTCTTTGATCACACTGATCCTCTAAAATTGTTTCTTGTGGAAAAGCTTCTATTTGTTGTCTTATAGCTTGTGCAATTGCTGGTACAAAGGTTAAAGGATTTAAATCTAAATCATCACATAATACCTCAGCAAATTGTTCTGGTGTTATAAGACTTTCTGTAAGAAAAATCATTTTATCAACATATGTGACTCATTACCAGTTATATTTTAAATCACACCGTTTTAATATAAATTACCATTTTTATTCCATGTAAAAGTATCTCTTAATTTTTGACCTTCAATTTCCATATCTAACCGTATTGGAACCAACATCTCTTGTTGAGCTGCATTTTCCAAATTTGCTGATGGATCTGTATCGTCAAAACTGGAAAGATGTTTTGTATTTGCATTTATGTCATAAAGACATGTATTACACTAAACAATAAGTCAATAATCTGTTGGATATAGCACCTACCACAGGGGAAATGTTCTGACTTTTTTATTATGTACTCTGTTACGATTAATTGGTGTAGCTTGAGGCACAGCATCTAGATGTGAACTATTTGGTAAACTAGGCACCCAAGGCATTGATTTCTTTGATTTTCCTTCTCTCGGGGCTGGAGGTTCTGTTGAATGCACCGATACAGCTTTATATTTATCATCATTGCCTTCAATAATATCTTCCACTTCACTAGCTCTTAAAAGAGAAACACTCGATGCAAGTACATGTTGGCTCAATCCAAGTTCTACTAGCTTTTTACGTTCATCATTTGTGATGGATCTCCTAAACATTCCAGGGTAACGTTTATACAATGATCCTCGAAATAGGCGTAAGTAATTGCCCACTTCGGATCCAATACAATAATATTCTCCATTTTCTTCTACTTGGAAACTTATCGGTTTATCACCATATGTACGTAGAGCCATGTTTATGGTACCTGAAATACATTATATTCTTATGTAATATATCTGAAAATTGATGTATAAACAACAAAATATCTGAAAAGATGAGTTAAGAAAGATTAGTCTTACAAACAATTGAAATGTCATTTTTCGGTTGAAAAACCTCATAACCTAACATCGATTAATTCAGAACATAGTATTGTATTATTATCACTACTATTGTTTACATGTCATTTACCTACCCGTTATACCGGTCACTTATCACTTTTCATCTGTTATACATTTATTAATATTGACATAAACGCAGCATAAAGCATTGCATGTAGTGATCTATAATACACTATTTTTTGCTCAAGTATACGACATTTCATCAAAGCTACATCGATATTGAATTATACATTTCTATAAGAAAAGCTTACCTCGATGAAGAAAAGATCAAACGTTTAAATATTTTGGTTAATTAATATGTCGTCTTTGTTAAATATAATAACACAGATTCTAAAGCTATGTTTTTAAAATGAGTGCATTCAAAAAGGTCACTGCTCAGTTGCTCACCTGCTCACTAAGCCGCTCTGTGAGCGAGTCAATATATAATTATTCACTATAAACTTGGGAGTTTCCTCACTAATGGCGCCACTGGTACTAAATCCCGTTCAGAGCAGCTTAGTCACTAAGCCTTAGTGAGCACTGACCTTTCTGGATGGACCAAGTAACTACCATTACAGAAAGCATTGTATTGGCGCTAAAGTACGCGATCTGTTTTCATTGTTTGAGAATGATAATCTATTAAACATAGAAAATTTCTATACGCTAATTTACAATTAAACACAGATGTACAACGACTAAGTTCGTATCTTTTATACGACACGTATGAGCATTTTTTGAAAAATTTGAGCATTTACGCATTACGCAAACATCCCTAGGAATTCATATGTTCTTTCCCTAACAATTATTTCGGAATGTGGTAACAGGCAAAGGGGGTGGGAATAATAAACGTTAGGCGTGTCGGCGTCTGTTTTTTAATACATTAATAGAAGATCGCATTGAAAAACGCATCTTTGTCATAATATTTATTTTACGGATGGTACGAGGTCGATTACACGAGAAACTCACTGCCAATTTTAAGATGTCGGAAGTGCAAAAAATATTATGCACGGAGAATGCCCTTAAGATTCTCTATCCATAGCGTAGCGTTTTATTATTCGACAGTTTCGATTTTACTATTGTGATATAGTACTGCGTATATGTGGCTGGCGTTTGGTTACGAGTGGAAGAGGGTATGTTCTTATGGGGTAGCAGGAAGGCGGTAGCCTTTGCCGGGGAATGGAGACGGAGAGCGTAAAGTCGGGGGCTAGTGAGCATAGCCATAGCCATCATAGCAGGACATCCCAAAAACACCATCGAACTCACAGTTCCAAATCCCATCATAGACAGCACTCGCATCGAAGTACCCGGTATTTTAAACTATTACAACCTGCTTTATTTAAAATATTAAACATTTAGTTGTCCTCTTAACAGGAATATCTTTTTTTAAAGGACCAGTCGTAGTCAAAGGAAAGAGAGACATAATTTAGATTCTAGCGAAATGGCTCCCTTTCAAACAACTGTTAATGTAAGAGGCGATAGTGTTGACAATTTGGGTCAAGAAGTTATCGAAGTACAGATTCTGCCACAAGATGAAAATTGGGGTGAGAACACCACAGCTATTACTGGAAATACTTCCGATAGATCAGAATCAACTGAAGATGTGAGCCATTGGCCAAATGAAAACGATGGATCGTTTAGTTCCTGTAATCGGTTCGTGGGTCCTGTTATAGCAATGATAATCGGACTTAGCGCCTTTCTTAGTCCTATAGCTATGGTCATACTGCCTAAATTAGGGTTTTTTCCTGACTCTATAACAGTCTTGACAATGCAACAGAAACTACAGTTGTTATCGTGTAATGCAGAGTGTAAAGGCCAATTACTAGGTTTAGCCTTTAAGCTGGTGCTACTAGGTGTCGGGAGTTGGGCTGTATTTTTACGCTCACGAAATGCTACTATGCCTCGTATATTTTTATTCAGAACTGGAGTGTTACTTCTTACTACGCTGTGCATTTGTACTTATTGGCTATTCTATGTTGTTCAGGTACATGATTTTATTAAATACTTTGAAATCTTTCTTTAATCATGGTATTCATAGAATATTGTCATAAATTTCAGGTCACAGAGAGTGCTAAGACTGCTGCTAATGGTGAAATAACAGAGTACAAAAATTTAGTAAATTATGCTGGAACTCTTGCAGATACTCTATTATTCATACATTATATTGCTATATTGCTCATTGAAATACGTCATCAGCAGCCTGTGTTTTATCTTAAAGTATGTATATGTTACTTTTGTATTTTATTTTATATATATTCTTATTTGTATTATAATAACATGGTAATATTTAAGGTTGTAAGATCACCAGATGGCGAATCGCGATCTTACGCAATTGGACAATTATCGATACAGCGGGCAGCTGTATGGGTTTTAGAAAGGTATTACACAGAATTTCCTATCTATAACCCATATTTAGAAAGACTGCCTGTGTCAAAGTCTGGTAGAAAACAATCGAGCTTCAAATTTTATGAAGTCGATGGAGGAGTAACAAGTGGTGTTCAATCGCGAGGAGGTAGCGGTGACAGAGCAGTCATAACTACTCAAACCCGTCGCAGGGACTCTAGCCATAATGAACGGTTTTACGAAGAACATGATTATGAACGTAGAGTAAGAAAGCGTAGAGCAAGATTAATCACTGCCGCCGAGGAAGCATTTGCACATATTAAACGTTTACATTCAGAGGTGGATTCAACTCCAAATCCTGGTCCCATGGATCCTATGGAAGCTGCACAAGCAGTATTTCCATCAATGGCAAGAGCCTTACAAAAATATTTGAGAGTGACGCGACAACAACCGCGTCATTCTGTTGAATCTATTTTAAATCGGCTTGCACGGTGTTTGGCACAAGACGCGGCACCGCGTGCATTTTTGGAACCTTTTTTTGTAACCAGTCCTGTTCTTTCGAATGAGAAGGAAAGACAGAAACGCTCGCATCATTGGGCCTTAGTCTGCGAGGGAGAGTTACCTTCACGATCTCTTGCTAATGGCTGCGAATTTCAATTAAGACAAGGTGAAGTAGCTCTTTTATGTACAGCATATCACTTACCACACTTTCATCTCACTGAACAGCTTGCACATCCGAAATCCAATAAATTCCTATTAAGATTAAATTCTGAGACATCGGTCTAATAATGCTTTAAAATTTCTAAAATGTTTTGAGATAATCTACAGTTAGAAATTTGTATTTTTTAATGGATATAAAAATTCATTATAAACGAGTAGATTTTTCCTGTATATATTTAAAAGAACTCCACAGTAATAAATTTGTAAGTATTGTGAATTGAATATAATTATAGCAAGCAAATACAAATGCAGCATAGTTTTTTAGAGTATATTTTCAGATGAATAGAAATTTTGCAAACGGCAAAATAGTTTTCTATGCGCTACCATAAAAAATGTTCACATTAATGAAATTATTTATAGCCTTTCTTCACTACGAATAATTGAAGGATAAAGAAACAATGTAAGTTTTGCATTTGTAATTTTAGATCAAACATTCAATTCTTCATATCATGAACTCATATATATTTATTTATTTCATTATTTTGCATATCATTTATAAAGAATAAAAATAAGCTTATTGTATTTCATATAAATTTTGCATAAAATAATCAAAACGTGTTAGCTAGTTTCTGGTAAACCTATAATTGGGAGCATTTTATTATTTTCGAATTTTATGTGGAATATTTTTGTTTCGATTAAAAACATACGAAATCACAAATATTATTGGAATAATTGAACAAATACATGAAATTACAGTTGGAACAATAGTATAGTGAAACTATAAACAGTAACAGTAAATATACATCACAAGATATTCTTTTTATTTATTTAATTGTGAAAGAAAAACGTCAAAGCGAAATATTCTAAATAGGAAGAAATATACATTCCTGCAGTATATTTATATAATGTTCTGTTTATGAATATAATTATGCATTAATATTTACTGCAGATAAGACACGATATCTGTATTATTATATACAGTCCAATGATTGAAAGTTTCTTCCATGACATCTCATTAAGGTTCTTTTTTAAATATAGTATTATGTAATTAATGTTTTGTATAATTTATAAATTTGGTTACTTTTATATTATTTTTAGAAATTAATAACTTTACAATTGTTAAGTAAGTATCTTAAGTACTTAAGGAATGCCTGTTAGCTTTAAAATATATTAATAGCTCTCAGTTGTGATAAACAAATAAGATTTTGAATACTTGTTTACACAAGTTTACAATTCTCTTATAATTCTCAACTACATGAATAACAAAACATGAAATTTACTGTAATAGACTATGTTGATCATGGCATAATTTCCTTTTTCTTAAACAATATCCAAAAATATCTTAATATTGTGTACAATTGTTGCAACAAATATTGAAGGAATCTTTTAATTTTGGCTAAATTTGTTTTAGTTCATTATTTTAATACTTCAATATTTTCCTGTTGTGTCTAGATATTAATTTGCTCATATCCATCATTGGAAACCGCACAATAGTCAATGTATGTATGTACTTTTTAAAAGTATTTGAATGTTTTACATTGTTCACACATAATTTTATATATTCAATGATATTGACTGTGCTGATTGTGATTGTGGTTATAATCATGATCAATTTGACTACTGATATTATGTTAATTTTACTGTATGTCTTTTGTATTAAATTGTTATTATTTTACAACATGTCATTTTACAAGGCTGATAGTATGTTACTGTATTTGTGACTGGGTTTGCTTTTGAGATAAATGTACAGTGAACATTAAAAATATTGTCTGATATATATATATATTATCACAAATGTACAATGAGGCAATTAGTGGAACAGTAAACTTGTTATGCTAAAAAATTTTAGTGCGCTAATGCTCATCTTCTGCATTCCTGTTCATTACTTCAATTTGGATAAAAAAAAAAATGAAGTAATTTAATATGACAAGTGCAAATTCATACATGCCTAAGAAGTATTTAACATATCACAATTTAGTAATATAAAATGTATATTGCTTGCCTCTGCTCATAAATTATATTATTTAAGATTGTATTTAGTTAAGCATACTTAAATATGTCAGATGATATAAACAGTGTGTCGAAAGAATTTTACATTCTTACGAACATGGAATGTTACTGTTGTGAGTAGCTTTATTTACAAACTTTTTAATTATCTGTGAGCATAATGAATGTATTAATTGGTAAACAAAACATACATTTAATGTATAAATATTAATTTTCTGGTATAATTCTTTTGGATATGGTGTATTGTATTCTTTATATTCTATGTAGAATATAATATGTTAACGGCTTAATTTTATAAGTTATTACCGTACTTTGTAAAGAATCATACGCACAAAATAGAATTCTAGTTATATAAAATGAAACGTAAAGAATAAAGAAATAAAATTGTTATTTATACATCTCAAATTGCTTTACAAAAAAGTATTCGAGTGTAAGGTGTGTGTTTATAATAATATATGAAATATAAGAAACAAATGAACATTTCTGTCTACATTTTATTTATAATCTCCCCTTTTAAAAGTAGTATTTCTTTTTAAACTAAAGATATAGTTCATTTTTTAAATATTCTATTAGTGAAAGTATAACTCTGCGGACTAATGGGTTCTAATTGTGATACGTGTAATATTACATTATTTAAAAAACAATTTCTTCGCATTAACCTTGCGCAGGCGTGGCACTGAATTTTTCCTGATTTTTCCCTTGGTGGCGCTCGTTATCTGTTAATGCGAATTGCTCCTCGGTGTTAACAACTATACCAACTATACTGAACTATAATTCATGGATGTAATCCTAATTACATCAAGTGTAACTGACTGTGACATTGTGTGATCATTGTCACTTTCACTTTGTTTATAACCTTATCTACTGTTAAATTATTAGGAATGATACACTATATGTAACATTAAATTCATATATTTGTTGTGTGTAAAAGTCAAAATAAGTAGTGTATTCGCAACGATATGTCGTTAACTAATGAAAAACAAATAGAATTACTCTTAGCTGGAAACCCTCTAGAAATTGATGACACGTACGAAGTAAGCCACGCCGTAGCGAATGATATATTAGGTAAAAATATATTTTTTACATACATTCGTATAATTAATTCAGGAAAATGATTCTTTTGTATGTATTTTACAATCTTATAACTTTAACAAAAATTTTTATTTTATAATATTAACAAAATTGCAAGTAAATTCAAAAAATATGTTAGAAATCAAACTGCATATAATTTATTTAATTCTAAATTATTCACAGATTTGTTGAATTATAATTTGATCAGTGTCTTTTTTTAATGTAACATGATCACTGTTAGTTTATAAAAAAAATATATGTATACACATATAGGCACAAAAGGAGTCCAATCGTTACTCAATAGTTATGTACCAATTTGTAAAAAAACTGTAACATACATTGTTGCTGCTGTTGTCATAAATGATGAGGGGAAAGTATTAATGATGCAAGAAGCAAAGGCTTCTTGTAATGGAGAATGGTATTTACCAGCTGGTAGAGTTGAACCTAATGAAAGTTTATTGGATGCTGTTAAGCGTGAAGTTTTGGAGGAAACAGGTCTTGTATTGACACCAGAGACATTGTTAGTAGTTGAATGCGCGAGTGGTTCATGGTTTCGATTTGTTTTCACTGGCAAAATAACTGGTGGTAAATTAAAAACATTAGAAGAGGCAAATGAAGAATCACTGCAAGCATGCTGGGTGCATAATGTGAATGATCTTACGCTTAGATCAAATGATATTATTTCCTTGATAGAAAGAGGTAAATCTTATGTTATGAGCAAGGATGTTTTGCGTCATCCATATTTAATTCCTGTTAATAAATCATTGAGCAAATTATTGTTGCGGCTTACAATTACTTCAAAGAAAAGAGCAACGTAAGTTGAATATATTTGAAGGAACCTTTATGAAATTTTATTTTATGTTCAAATTTCAAATTTATTTTCTGTTGCTTATGCTTGATTTTTCTTTAGTATTTTCACTTTTGATATAAGGTCATTGGTGGTAGTTTTCATAACAGAACAACGACAATGTGATTATGGATGAAGGCTTAGGTTGGAGCATATTAGGTACACATGCACACACATGGACTTGTATATATACCTTTGTAACAAAAATTGTATTTACTTATATATTATCCTTTCCTTAGAAACTTATAGTACTAATCATTACAAATCTTTTTTAAGCAATAATATACTATGCTATATTAATATAACTTCTAACGTATTTTTTAAAATATGTGCCTCTAAGCATTCTATCTTTAAATGTGATTACTAAAATTTTTAATAAAAAATGGTGACAATTTATTTTTATTGACAGGAATCAATTACACGTTGTGATATCAGATACAACACCATCTCATTTACCAATTTGTGAAATTAATCCAAATCGCAGTATTCTCTCTACTCTACATAATTTTATGGAGGTGAGTTATTTATTATAACATTAAGAATAGAAGCTTTCATCTAATTTTTTTCTTAAAAAATGATGTTATGGTATAATTTCCTATGAAATTAATTGTTTTAGGAATTATTTGGTAGTGGAGTTCCACAACATAGACCACATGGCATACTTTCTATAGAATTTAGCGGTGGTGATGGAGGAGATGGACTTTGTTTAACATTACTAATATCATTCAAACTGCCTGTAGAAGATGTACCTACAATTGGAAAATATGTTTGGCATGAATTACCTGAAAATATAGCTGAAAGTATAACTTATCGTTTACCGCGAAACATGACTGTGCCTTTAAATGTTATACGGTAATTTGACATTTATATTAATTGCGCATTACATACATTTCAAATCTTACAAAGAAAGTACTCTATTTGCACAATTGAAAATTTATTAAAAATTGATTGCTAAATTCAGCTATATATAAGAGAGATTTTTCTTTTGTAATGATTGCATCATATTAAAGTTTAGGTATGGCAATGATTTAAAATAGAATAATTATTATACATAAATATATATAATAATTTATATAAATCTGTAACGAATGTGTTTATAAATTATTATATATATTACTATAAATCCATACTCAAGTTGATTTCCATAAATCAGATTATATTTAACTAATTTTAATACTTAACAATCACTAATTAAACTAAACAAATATTTATGATCATGAATTTACATTTATCCTAGTCTAAACCAATGATTTTTTAACAAATGTTATTATACATTATACATCTTTTATAAAGTATATAATATAAAGGAATTAATATTAGATTTATTTAAACAACGTACATTCCCATATTGTTAAAGGTGAAGCTTACAAGTATTTCGAATTGTTACCAAAAATTTGTAAAAGTTTAAAAAATATAATGAAACAATTTTGTACACTGTTTCTAGAAAAATTTGAATAATAATATGACATGTTGAATAGAAATTTATTTTTATCTAGTATAATGCATTATAAGCATTGTAATTATTTACATTCGAAATATATAATATATATGTAATATAAAATCTATAAGTTTTAAAATTATTAAAATTTTTTGGAAGTATTCAAATACTTACATCAAGCAATTTTATTGTAGTAAATAGAATATTTATTAAATAGATGTAAAGAGAAGGCAAAGAATATTAATTGTAACTTAATATATACAATGTAATTGTTACATGTTTTATGATGAATAAATATTTTACTAAATCAGTGTTTCATTGTGATGTATTTGGGTAGTAGGAAATAATTAAAGGAAAAGATATTAGTAAAACACTTTAATAAAATGAGCATTACAAATCGTAAGTGGAGCAAGAAATTTAAATAAAAAATTATTTCTACTTTACAATTATTTCGCCTTGTGGTATAACAACAAATTTACAATTGCTTAATTTATATGAAATTGCACATACTTCAGACTTTCACATAGATGTTATGTGCAAAGTTTATATTTTTGTCCAATGTAAAACATATATAATTTCAAAAATATGTGTTTACACATTTATAACTCTTTAAGTGACTGTAAGATATTCAAGCTTCTATAATGACATTTTTTTTACAGTAATTATATTCATAAAGTAAATTTCATAAGCAAAATCAGTATTGAGATATTTAATTATGTAAACATATTTAAGTTGATGTCAATACCCTAATTGCACTCGTTAAACCTTCATCATTACTTTCATTTTTTATAGGAACAATATTGTTAGCATTAGGTATCACATATACATCAGTAGTTGAACTTAATGGTAAATTATTAAATAAGTTTAATGGTGGTGTATTGTTATTATTCACTGCTGCACAGACGTTACTTTCACATTGATTAACACCTACATTACTATTTACAGTATGTTTCTTCATGTGAGTTGTTAAATTTCCACTATGATAAAAATCCTTCCCACAAACTTTACATTGAAATGGCTTAATCCCGGAATGTATCCTTTCATGTATCGATAAATTTCCACTATGTCTGAATTCCTTACCACATATATTACATTTATAAGGTTTTACACCTGAGTGAGTTCTTAAGTGTGTTGACAAATTGCCACTGTGACTAAACATTTTTCCACATATTTGGCAACCATAAGGTCGTTCACCAGAATGTGTTCTCATATGAATAGCTAAATTCCCACTATGAGTAAAACACTTTTCGCATTGATTACATTTATAAGGCCGTTCTCCATTATGAGTCCTCATATGTATAAATAAATTACTTTTATGCCCAAACTCTTTGAAGCATATTTCGCATTGACATTTAAATTTTTTTCCTACACTTGATTCGGAAGAACTCTTGGGTGGTCTTCCAGGACGGTTAGGTTTTATTGAAGACACTGATGATGAAGTGGTCAGCATTTGATTTACAAATTTTGATTGCTGTGTGTCTTGAGGAAGTTGCAACTGTTCAATTTTTTGGGGAGCACTTATGTGATATTGTTGGCTCATTTGATTCTGGTCTGTGCTGCCTTCTTGATTAACTTGGAATAACATACCATTTTGTACACCTTTCATGTATGCTAAAGAACCACTTTCCTAAAATGTTTGTACATATAATTAGCTTTTTAGCAAACATTGTGCTTTGATAATCTTATTGATAAGATATCAGAAGCTATAAATGAAATATTTATAATTTTTAAATAAAATTGCATATATGTATAAATTATATTTGTTTGCATTATGTATAAATCATAAACCCACTTCCATTTGGAATAAACACTGTTGATTGTGAACTTCATTCTTTGGCTGTATCTCATTTGACAATTGTGTATGACTCCAAAATTGTGGTAACTGATTGTATTTATAATCAACATCATCATTAATGAATATTGGATACTTGGAAGTATCCAAAGTATTAATCCTATTACCACAGTTAACATCTTCTACTCCCATACATTCATGTTTTATCTGTATAGGACTAAACATCTACAAATATACATTAAGGAAACAATAGCAATTATTCGATCATTTTTATATAATTCTATATTAATTAATACTTAAGTTATAATTCCTTAATTTACGAAAATAATAATTGCTTAAGTTACGTTTCAAAGAGAAGAAATAATCTTTATTGTTGATGAAATGAAATGTTTAATATACAAAGTTTATGCAAAAAGACCTACATTTTTATTATGATATTTCTAGAGCTATCAATTATTTCATAATTTAATCAAATGTTGAAACAAACATGACTGACACACACTATCACTTCACTGCGATTATTCATTGTGCATATGTGTGTTACGAATGATTATTTACAAACATTTCTTAAAATATTATCGGATACATTAGGTAACAAGAGGGTTGCTTCAGTGTATATCAGGACATTCAATCTCTTTGTTCCGTAAACGACATGAATTTTTTATATAGCCAACAATGCCATCTATGAAAATTGACAATGAGTTGATTCTCAAATTAAATTTTGATTATTATTGGAGATAATGCACTTAAAGAATGATATATGACGGTACAAATATATTTCTATAACTTAGGATATAATCTCTAATCTAAAAATTGCTAATTTTTCATTGTGAACATTTTGATAAAATATTTTGGACAAAACTAAAAATTACCAACATTTCCATATTTTTTATTCTGTTTAGTAAGTTAAGTATAAAGTGTACAATCATAGTATTTTTTTCAAATATTTTGTATTGTGCTCTACATTTTGCTTTCTAACACCTATTAGATAAAGTATTAGTTTGGTTAGGCTCAGTTATTATCTGTAATAGTTACAGAGTTGCAATTCTTTATTATATATATATTTTTCTTCTTCATATCCTCCTAAGCAGTTAATTCATGATTTTGTTATATTGTTATGGAAAAATAAGTAATAGACATAATATTTAATGTTTTTCATTAACAACACGCGACGACAACAGGCTGCATATTTTCAGGGGCATTTTAAATGAGCATCAAATGACTGTAGCACTAACCTCATGCATCTAAAAATATAGAAATTGAAATATATTATTGTTTGAAATCATTATAAATTGTTGCAGCAAACAAAATGGATGAAGTTAATAATATATTTAATATTAATCGATAAGTCTTGGAAAACAACCAATTGTCATTGGTAGCCCTCTGTTGGTGTAGTTGGAGAAGTATTATTGCATCAAGTACTATTTACACGAGTACTGAATTTCGAACATTCATAGAGATCTATCTACATATTTAATCGATCCATGGAGCAGCAAACATTGTTGACAATAAATTTAGTGTCTTCGTTGTGCAACAAAAAATTAATGGTTATAACGATTATGATATAATTATATTTTGATTAGAGTTCTTTATGTATTCCATAAATGGTTGAAAGTGGTGTTAAATACAAAAAGTTAAAGTATACTTGCTTACCAAAAACAAAAACTATTTTCCTCTATTGGAATGTTTAAATATCAAGAGTTTAATGATTACCATCGAACCTTTTCATTATTTGTTTGAAGAAATAATTTAGAGAATTAAAAATATGCATGTATAAAAGTTAATTTTTTGGAGAAGAGTAATTGAAATGTAAGGTTATACACTATGCCTGGTGGACGACGTAATGCTGCTACTCGGAATGGTCAGACTAAATCTCAGACCAGTTTTTCTGGAACTACAAATGTTGTTACAAGAAGCAATAGTGGAGACAGAGTAGTTGTAGATGATAAAAAGACAGACGAATTTTGTGGACTAAAAACATTGATACCAAAGCATGTACCTATACCAGTTGTACCTATAGATGGCCACCTAACTTTTGAAGCTTTGTCTTTGATTGTATCAATTATCGCAGCTTCTCTACAAATGCTTAATTTATATAGAACTGTGTGGTGGTTACCTCATTCATATAACAACTATAGTATGGTATGTTGCTCCAATTAATTCATCTTCAGGTAGCAAATATATGAATATATTTCTTATTATATTCTTTTCACTTTCAGAATTTTTACCTAGTAGATCCTTATCTACTCATATTCATTGTAACTATGGTTGCACGTCAATTTATTTATTCTTTACTGCGTCGGTGTATTGATATTTCATCTCCAGTGCGTTGGTTGTCTGCTGCTCAAAAAATTATGAGGTACTGTTTCATGTATATCATTTAAACCATATATGTGTAATCTAAAATATATTTATTATTTTTCAGGATAACTCTCTTAATTGTTGTGATGAGTGTACTTTGTTGGTGTCTTTACCACATGGCTGAAAGGCATAATTCTATGAAGATTTTCTATTTATGCTATCCGTTTGTACCTTTTTGTTAAACTGTTTATTATTATTAGATATATACAGAGTATATATTATTCATGGTAACATGTACAAGTGATCATATAAATGTTAATTCTATGTAATTTGTTTCAGAAGTTTATCTTTGTATTTCGTAATGTTTGGTGTAAGTGTAGTACCCTTCTTTGATATATCACCAGCACCTTTATATAATAAAGATGAGAAAAAAACAAAGTTTCTTTTGGGTATGTAATACTGTTTGTGATGGCAACTTATCACATATTTATGTTGAATTATTTGCTTTTTGTTTAGATAAGCCTCTACATAATTGCTCGTTAAATGCATCAGCTATTAGAGCAGAAGTTTCTACCTTGAGATCCGATTTCAATCGTCGTCTGAAACGAGCTTTATTTGCATCTTCTAGTAGTGCTTACGTATGTGGTATTACACCGATTATATTCGTACCGCAACATTTACATTTTAATGTTTCATGGGTTGTGCAACATGTCATTATGTTCTGGCTTGGAAGAATAAGTGCTCACTTTTCTCAAGCTTATCCAGTTAGGTACATACATATGTATTAGTTCACGTATATTTCTTATTATATTTATCCGATTAACATTATTATTTCGTTAATTTGAAATGTGAATGTTGTATTCAAAAATTCATTTCCAGAAATCTGATGAATACCCTACTTATTTAGGTACTGTGATGTCTTGCATAGAGCAGCGTTACATCTAGGCCGTTGGGTTAAGATTGAAAATCGTAATAATCACACCTACGCGCAAGCATGGAACGATTCAGTTTTATGGCCCCACGGCTCGATAGTGAGGCACAATAAGGAAATTTACCGTTCGGAAGGTTTATGTACAGTGGCGGAACCAGGAAATTCAAATCACTACAGATTTTATGTACGTTCTAAGAATATAGCCGTAATTCAAAATTATTATCGATATGTATATGATTTTACTGTGAAAAATGATTGTATAGATGTATTCTTTTCGATATTTCGTACAGGCTTTATTCAGTAATCCCACGATGCTGCTTTGTTCGTTGCTGGGCTTGCAGCTGCTTCTTGTGGGTGTCCAGCTGTTCATTTTACTACGTACAACCGATTGGTACCAAGTACTATCGATAACGTTACTTCTCCTGATCAATTATTATACTTTATTTAAAATAATTCGGGATTATCTTATTTGTTCGAAAGTGTACCACGCTGAGCAAATAATACAAGAGAAATCTCAAATATGTTCAAATTCTGCTATTCAATAAATAAATGAAAAAAAAATATGTGTATTATTATTTAATTTATATGTTAAACGTATTTAGTATGTGTATTATTATAGAACTTTGTATGTTCGATAATTTTTCCGTGCATTGTTTAGAGATATTCGGTTTAGCAGCGTGAGCGAAGAAAACGATTGCACGGCCGTTTTTTTTGTCACTTGCATCGTTAAAATTGGTACTAGCCGGCTCGGTGAAGTGGTTCTGGAGATTAGCCTGAACAAACATACAGACGCCTATCCGGGAATTTATTTTATACTATGTAGAGATTTCGTTTGTCTACGCATCAAAGATGTTATGCAGATACTCTAAATAAAAATTATGGATGACAATGGTAAACTAAATTTGTTTTAAAAATGATGTTACTGTTGGCAATCGGTTATCTGTAGTTTGTCTCTCGTGCTGATTTCTCATAAATCAACGAGTGAGGAAAATATTTGGAAAAGTTTAAATACTTGAGATAGCAAATTTTGGAAATCGAGTTATCCGCGAGCTGAAAAATATTTTTTATTTATTTTTCAATTAGTTAAGGTCGAATTTAAAGTTATAGAAAAACAGATCTTTACGAACTGAAGACGACAATTGAACAACACTATGAATAGTAATCTTACCTATTTTAATAGCATTATGATAGAATTTAACAAAATAAAAAATCGTTAATACATCGATTAATAAAGAAAATCAATATAAATGTTTACTCTTCGGTGTGAATTTCTAAGTAGTTTACAATTATGTTTTCAAAGTATAGTACAGTTTAGGCACAATAGTAAACGAATCTTGTTTTTATTATGTTTTTACCTTGATGTTGTACTTAAACTTAATGAATCTTGGAACTTAAGTGTTGAGGACACAGATCACGTTTACTCAACTGTGCTTACATATGCTTTCAAAACTGCCTTAATCAACAAAATATTACGAAGTATAATTCATCATGATAACTGCATACGATTATGACAGATGTATATAAGATGAGAGTAGAAATGGAGATCAATTGAACAAGTCACCGCGATGAACGTCATTTGGAGAATACTAGTTTGTGCAATACTTGTGGCACATGGTGTGAACATTTTATTCATATAATAATATTTTATCTAATTTTCTGAGACAATTCAATACAAAGTGTACATAGAGTGTGTTAAAACAGGATTCTATATTTATTTTCCGCATTAAATATATTAATACAAAATTATATAATATAATTTATTATTAAAAATTCCCCAAATTTTGAAAACTGTAACATAAATGTATGAAGTTTTTCCTAAGCGGTTAATAAAAAAGCAAATTATTTATAAGGGACGCCCTGAATGTTTCAAATAAATGATCTTACTTATTATTGACTTTTACCAATCAGTTATTTGCACGACATAAAATTGCTTATGAAATAAACGCCTGATAAATGAATGGAAAAATTGATTAAATTCTGATTCACGTATGTAGCGTATTTTCGAACGATTTCTTGTTAAAAATAATTTTCATCGACCATCGATATGTAACTAAAACGTCAACTAGCGTTTACGCGTAAACGAGTTAATTGCATTAAGGAAATAATTTGCATAAGTAAATAATGGATATTATCGATGGGGCATAATCCTTTTTATTAACACGCTTGTCCTCAGTTTCAGCCAAGAATAAAACATGCAAATCCAAGATTGTGGGTGGTTATGCGGCTGGAGTGAGTGGCATGCCCCCGATTGACGAAAGATCTTGCGAAAATGACGAGCTTCGTAAGGATAAATGCTTATCAAACGCTGTCGAATGCGCCCGTACGTGTCGTAAAGGTGGAAAACCGAAAACTTGTTATTACAAATTCGTGGTCGAACGTTATCCCGTTAATGGCAGGTAATTGGATTCGAGAAATTTTGATTTTGCTA